CAGCTTTATATTTAAATAGAAGTTGTCGTCTCTAATAAGCATGGATTCCAAATAAATTCCACAAAAAATTGTTGGTTTGTTTCAAATCTTGCTTTTCTATACAAAGAAGAAACATCATTAGAATGGAGAAGAAAAAAACAAACTAAAGGTGGATAAGCTATTTTCAAAAAGAAAAGGTAACAACAAAGTAAATATACTATCTATACATGACAACAACCCGATCCCTTTGTGAAGTGGATATAGAAATGCCTCTAAAGAAACCATTGACTTTAGCCCAATTAGAGCCAAAAACACTGTCATCTCTCAAATGCAATCAAACAACTGAGAAATTTTCTTAAAATTCTCACATTTCTCTTCTGCACAATGATCACAACCCAGCAAATATAGGCCCTCCATAAAGCATCTTCTGATCCTCACTCTATCAAAACCTTAAAGAGGTGAAGACCTCAAATCTGGAGAACATACCCAAGAAACATGTAAAGAAAAAAATATAGTCTAGATCTTCCAGGCCTGTCCACAATGAAAAAGCAAGTCTGTTGTCTTCTAAATTATAAAAGCACGTCAAACAAACATCCGGAGACTGCGCTATCTGAGGTCTACAGGTTTTTGAAGCAAGTCATTAGTGTTCCTGTTATTACGATCCGCTGCCCGCAGAAGGATTCTCACTTTAGACAAAACTTCCATTTTAGAAAAAGATGAGAAGTCAAAATTCCTTATGGTAGGATCTAATTGCTTGGACTTGGCATTTTTGTACCATGCCAGCATTGACACAACATACCTCAAGAGAAAAAGCATCTCTCCTCCTCCCTATAAACGAAGGACTCTTCTCTCCCTTTCCTATACATTCCAGAGTTCACAACTTCCTATTTCCACTATTCCAACCTCTTCTTTTTGGCTTGTTATCAAGCTCATCGATTTCTCCCTTCCTCTACAACATGCTCCAATAGTCCTCAATAACTTGTACCAAAAGCCCTTACAACTAACAGCAGCTTGTGGAGCTTCAAGATGTTGTACTTAAACTAGTAAGAAATGTCATTTTTCCCTGAAGATCCAGAAGACAGAAAGGCATGGCTGAGCTCTGGAATCACCATCAGCTCCTGGTCCACCAGCAATGTCACTTGACAATTCATAACCTGCAACTTAAGACTTCTCACATGGGCTTAGTTCCACCATAAATGGCAATGAAGAAACAAACCTTCTAGACCTCATCCATAGAAGATGAAGAGACAGTGT